TGCATGCATTCTTGAAACTGATACCATGTAATGTTAAAAAGCAGATAGCTAACTAAATACACTAAAAACCATGTTTAATTATTTGCTACTTGAGGCCAATAGCAATGATGAAAAAATTTCTGTCATCCTCAGTGACAATATTTTTAGGGCCAAAAAATAAAACTCTCACCCAGAGTTTTTACCACGATTTGCCTGGTGAGGGGAGGCGGCAGGTTGATGCAGACCAAATCCACAGTATAATAAATACAAGTATAATAAATACCTTCCTCCTCCTTCTCCTCGCTGCGATCTGGATGCCCAATGCGCCTTCCTTTCCTCCGCGTTCAGCCCGTTCGCGTGGAGCCTCAAGATTATGAGCAATGCTGGGTTGCTACGTTAAGGGGACTGGGAACTACTGCTGCTGCGGCACCCGATCCCTGCAGCAGTGGCTGGCTCTGCTCCCGGCCGCGGGCCCCTGCCCTGCCGCGTCCAGCGCGTCTTCAACAGCATGACCTGGCATCCCAAGCGGAGCCTAGACCCAGCCGGATTCCTTGAATGCCCACATGTGTGCGCAACGCAGCTAGGCGGGCTCCGCTTGGGATGACCCGGCTATGGAGGGCATAGCCGGGTCATCCCAAGCGGAGCTCCCCCCCACCTAGCTGCGTTGCGCACACGCATGGGGATTCAAGGAATCCAGCCGGATTCCTTCCTCCATTCCTATGGAGGGCATAGCCGGGTCATCCCAAGCGGAGCTCCCACTGCCTAGCTGCGTTGCACACACGCGCGGGGATTCAAGGAATCCAGCCGGATTCCTTGAATGCCCGTGCGTGTGTGCCATGCAGCTAGGCGCAGGGAGCTCCGGGTCGTGCACGTTTGGGATGACCCAGCCAGGGAGGGGCAGCGGCAGCGAGTTGGGCGGGCAACCCGCTTGCTGTTGAAGACACGCTGGACGTGGCAGGGCAGGGGTCTGCGGCCGGGAGCGGCTTCTGGCAGCTCCCGGGCGGCGATCCCACCACCATCCGCTCGCGGCTCTTCCCACCTGGACGCCCAAAGCCTCCCAGCCTGCCCGGGGCGAGTCAGCTGCAGTGCAGCCGGTGGTGGGCAGGAAGGCTTCTGGCGGCTCCCGGGCGGCAATCCCACCGCCATCCGCCCGCTCACTCGCTACGCTACCACGCCCATGCGAGCGGCAGCGGATGGGTGGGGGAGCGAGCGATCGAAGAAGGCGCCAAATTAAGCGGGATCTTTTGGGAACGGCCCGCGACGCGGGAAAAATTATGAGAAAGCATGCCTGTCCTGCCAAATGTGGGACGTCTGGTCACCTTATCTTAGCTTAATAAATTATATAATTAAATACAGTTCTTTACCAAGAATTTCAAGTGGGGATTTTTACAGTTTTTCACTCCTCTCTTACATGTACAGCTTCTTTCTGTGCTTTCACTTCTGGACTTGCTTCTATTCTAAGGGAAGAGAACAAAAGAGGAAGAAATAAGTATTTTCTGGCTTTCATGGATCCCAGCACCTTTTGTCAAGTTGCCCTTGCTGACCTATGGTCTGTTCTCCAAAAACTTCAGTCCTTTCCACCAGTCAGCATATTGCTGTTTTGCGTCCTGTTCACTCTCCAACTACAGTTTCCTCTTCCTTGATACTTGAAGTATCACT